TGTAGGTCATTTTTCTCCCTTCTCCCCGTCACAATCTCATTTTAAAATATGCAGTAACCTCATACCACAGTTACTTCATTTGATCCTTGCAAGAACATACGTTAAATGCTAAAATACAGTAGGCTTTTAACCAATTTGGCTCTTCTTAAACATGGGTACAAAAATCCTGATTTCACTTAGAACTAGTCTGCCCAAAGTGTTGTGTCCCTTAAGGGAAGCATAAGATACACTTTCCACTTAGCTGTCAATTACAGAAGTTGAGATCTACCGCCTTTTCAGTTTTCCAGGGAATTAATCTACTCTAGATCTCGTGTATTTTATTATGTAGGCAAACTCAATGTACTAATGTGAAATGTTATAACCATCAGCTTAAAGAAAACAAATTTGAAAGCAAAGGTTCTTTTAAAGAAACTTTATGTGTATTCATAATTGAGTCATGTGCAACAAACATGAATTTTCCTAAATCCAAGTCCAAACACAAAAGCGTAGCTTCAATATCCTTCAAATTCTGCTGACCAATGTGTTTCTTGGATGTATTCATTATGCAAGATTCCCATATAAAAATCTAATACAGTCCAGCAATTTCCGTCATAGAAATTTAAAGCCACTGAAGATAAAAAGTCCAGACTAGGAAAAATAAAGGATACTTCAAAATATTTATAGAAAAACAATTTTTAAAAGTTTATTTTAGTGAAAAAATGTGGAATTCATGCAGTTTTTTCATAGTACACATTTTCCATGAACTTTTTGAAGACTGAGTATGCCATACACTTCAGCCATTCAACTGTAACACTACTCCTGACATCAAACAAATCAGTGTTTCTTTCTGTAAAGATGTGTTCATTTCCTTAACTCAAACATACAATGCTATGTTCTGACTTGACATTACCAAAGAGAATTTCTAAAATACAAATTGTAGAAGTTCTTTATACAAAGCAGGTCCCACCTAATGAAAGAATACATTATAACTTGAGTATTTAACCAAAATGTCTAAGATTTAACACAGAAATTAAAGACTTTGCCTTTGCCAAAAAAAAATTAATTCCTTGTCTGTTGGAATCCATGACTAGCTCATTTTCTTATCTTCACACCACCTATCCTGTAACACACAGCATGTTCAAAGAATGTTTGCTGAATAAATTATATAGATACCCAAAGAAACTATCAAGGAACTTCCATAGCCCTGCAATTTTTAAATGATTTCTCTAAAACTGTGGTCAACAAACTCACCAATTTGACTTACATAACTTGTCCACAAATCTTTCATATCCATAACACATACTATTCTCCTATGTTTATGAACTAGAGCTCACAATCAATTGCCAAGTTGGTCTTTCTTCCACTAATAAAAAAGTACACACTCATTCACAGCAGGTGCTACAACAAAGTAAACACATTATAGCCCTACCTATAGAAGGACTGTCCCTAAAGTGGTCATCGTTGAGTGGTCACCCTGGAAAACACACCTTTATTCCACTACTGGCCTAGCGAGTAGTCACCAATTCTTTGATCAAACTGTGTAATGCGTGAGATTCTAAAGAGACCCAAAACTGTAAGAATCGCTGCTGCTCTTTTAATACCATTTGCAGAATCAATTGAGATCAACAAAAATGCCTTAACTAAAACAGCATCAGTTAATCTGGTGTCACATACCTTATTCACCAGATTTGGCTTCAAATGACCTATGGCCATTTCTAACACTGAATATATTCCTAAGACAGGAATATTGGTCACAAGTGTGGACACAACAAAAATAATTTACCAGGGCCTGATACTGTGGCATAGTGGGTTAAGCTGCTGCCTGCAAAACCAGCCTTCCATATAGGTGCCAGTTCACGTCCCAGCTGCTCCATCTCCAAACCAGCTTCCTGTTAATGCCCCTGAGAAAGCAGTAGAAGATGGCCCAAGTTCCTGGGCCCCTGTCCCCACGTAGGAGACCCAGATGAAGCTCCTGGCTTCAGCCTGGCCCAGCCCCAACTATTGTGGCCATCTGGGGAGTGAACCAGAGGATGGAAGATGTCTGTCTCATTCTCTTTCAAATAAAATGAATACATCTTTTAAAATAATAATTTACCATCCTGTCCAAAGGAAATAATCTAGCAACAATAATCTAAACATTACAGAGGAAAAAAAAATTTTGACACCAGAAATTGCTTAAAGAATGCACTCAATGGGGCCGGCACTGTGGCGCAGCGGGTTAACGCCCTGGCCTGAAGCGCCGGCATCCCATATGGGCACCAGTTCTAGTCCCGGCTGCTCCTCTTCCCATCCAGCTGTGGCCTGGGAAACCAGTAGAAGATGGCCCAAGTCCTTGGCCCCCTGCACCCACGTGGGAGACCCGGAAGAAGCTCCTGGCTTTGGATTGGCACAGCTCTGGCCGTTGTGGCCAATTGGAGAGTGAACCATCGGATGGAAGATGCTCCTCTCTCTCTCTTTCTCTCTCTACCTCTACCTCTCCTCTCTCTCTGTGTAACTCTCACTTTCAAATAAATATATAAATCTTTAAAAAAAATGCACTCAAGTCATTTGTTCAAAAACACAAAGCCCCACAGAGAACTTGAATTGCTTCCCATGACACTAATTTAATTGTATCACGCAGCCAGGCGTCCATGATACAACTGTTCTGAGTTGCATTTTTCCTCAGTAGGCTTTGTTCTTTGGAATGAGAGGCAAGAAGCCACTATTTTATAATAGTTTAAGTTATGAACTTTTTCCCCAAAATAAAAAGGGCTTGAAAAGAAGCCATGAACAACAGGTAGCTGTTCTAAGCCTTGATGACGTTTTACACTACCAAATAATTATATCCTGGATTCACACAGTTAAAAGCAGCAATTTCAATTATATACCCACATAATCTTTCTTCCCCAAACAGTAAAAAATAATCACAACTGATATTTGGGAACTAGTTTTAATGTCTCTGTATACAGATTTCAATAATCTTTGTATACATTATATATAATCTATACACTCATTTTATCTAAATCATGTATTCAATATTTAGGTCTATATTTGATTAACAAAATCATGACAAATTATTAAGCAATAACAGTTTTATAAATCCTTACTCTATAGTAAAGAAACTACTGGCATAGGTCATTTGGAAATCATATATGTAATCTAAATATAAATCCACAGAGATTTCTTTCTATTATTGTTAGTATTTCTTGGGCCTATAGGAGGGTAATTCAGAAAGTTAGTAGAGAAAACAAATTATATCCCACAGAATATCCCATGAGTCTTGACTGATATAAACAATTAAAAAGGGCATGAAAGGATAGCTCTACTTTACAGAACTCCAATTAATAAATACAAATGAAAGAGGAGGGGTCAGTGTTTAACCTAGTGGTTAAAATACCAGTCAACACCTACATCCCACATTGGACTACCTCGGTTCGATTCCCAGCTCTAGCCCCTGATTTCAATTTCTTGTCAATGCAGACCCTCAGAGGCAATGGTGATAGCTAAAGTAATTGGGTTCCTGCCACTTGCATGGGAGACCTGGGTTGAGTTCCTAGCTCCTAGCTTCCCTGGCCCAACCAGGCCATTGTGGCATTAATGAACCAACGGACAAGAACTCACTTTCTCCCCTCCTTCTTCTTTCTCCCCTCCCTCTCCAATAAGTATTTTAAAAATAAAATGAAGAAAACAGAAAATCAACATTAAGCAAACACTATACCATAGGATACCATAATTAGTAGGCAGAAGGTAGAGGAGAAACAAGGTACTTCCTAACCATAATGAGAGAAACAGTAGCACTCCTGGTAAGAAATTCAGCAGCCACAGTTAGTATGGCAATAATAGGACACAAGGACATCACAACCCCCTGGTATGATGCATTGAAAAGCATTTACAGATTAAGTATCCCCGATTAAAATGCTTCCAAGTTGGGATTTGGGGATTATTTGCATTCATATAATAAGATATCTTGGGGATGAGACCTAAGTCTAAACATGAAATTCATTTATAATATAAACTGAAGGTAATTTCACACAATTTTAAAAATACTTTTGTGCATGAAATAAAGGTTTATGGTATAAAATTTTCCACTCATAGTGTCAAGTCAGCTAGTCAAAGTTCTAGATTTTGAAGCATTCTGAACTTCAGATTTTCAATTTAATATTATTTCTGGCTCTTCTTGCCAAAAATACATAAGTTCGTTCTAATCATGACAAATAAGCAGACAGCCGAAGTTGCAGGACATTCCACACCACAATGAACCAGTTCTCTTCTGAAGCATCAAGGTCAGAGAAGACAGGAGGAAAAACTGAAGAACTGTCACAGACTGGAGGAGACTAGAGAGACAGGACACTCACTCCTAGCTGAGACCCTCTGCAGGATTCTGCTACAGAAAAAAGGTAACGGGAAAACTGGTAAAACTACCTAAAATCTATAGGTAACAGTATCACACTAACATTAATTTCTTTGTTTATTAATTATTTTAAAATGGCATAAGATGTTAATATTAGGAGAAGCTTGGTAAAAGAAACATGAATTGTAATTTTACTACTTTTCTTAAAGCCCAGACTTAGTTCAAAATAAAAAAAACATTTAAGGGTTGGTATTGTGGTGTAGCAGGTTAAGCCACCAGCTGCTCCACTTCCAACCCAGCTGCCCCTGCTAATGGCCTGGGAAAAGCAGAAGTTGTTCCAAGTATTCAGGCCCCTGCTATCCATGTGAGAGACCTGGAAGAAGGTCTTGGTAACTGGCCTTGGCCTGGCCCAGTCTTGGCCATTGTAACCATCTGAGGAGTGAACCAGCGGATGGAAGATCTCTGTCTCTTCCTCTCTCTCTCTCGGAAATAAATAAGTAAATCTTTCTAAAAAGCTTTTTAAAATTTTTAAAAATATGATATCCATGGTTATCTAGACAGTAACAATAGCTATCATTATTTTGCCTTAAATTCATTACATTATGCTCAAATTTCCTTTAATCATCAGTTATAATGTGCATTGCCAAGAACATAACTGAGAAATTTAATCAATAAAATGATAATCTCATACCTGTAATTTTATAGCCATAAGCAGCTAGCTGTCCAGCCATATATTCCCCATCTGAATTATTGTGAGAACATCCCCAAGTCCGTATCCAAATTTTCTGTATGCCTGGAATAGTGCTGTTAAACAATCAATTTTTAAAAAGTAAATCTTCCTAAGTAATTTTAAAAATAAAAACCAAAAAAATAATTTCAGAGCACATTATACATAACATAAATTTACTGCAGCCAATCCACAAGCTATTCACTAATTCACCAACTTACATCAAAAGTCTAAAATTCAAGAAAAAATATTACACTCCACATAAAAAATTATTTTTTCTCTGAATTGTATTTTAAATGCATGCTATCTACATACTACCACTGAGTTCAACTCCTAGAAAGGTACCTGTCTCTTCACAGACTGTATTAGCTGAAATTTTTATCTACTTTAAAACTCACAGATATAGATGTAGTAACTTAAACAAAATTAAGGGCTGGGCATTTAGCCTAGTAGTTAAGACACCAGTTAAGAGGCCTACATCCCATGTCAAAATACCTGGATTTGATACCTGGCAATGGCTCCTAATCCAGTTGCCTTCCAATACAGACCCTGGGAGGCAGCAGTGACAGCTCAAATAATTCGGTTCCTGCCACTCAAGCGGGAGATTCAGATTGAGTTCCTAGCTCCCAGATACAGACATACCCAGTCACGGCCACTGTGGGCATGTGAGGAGTGAACCAACAAACAGGGGCTTCCTTTCTTCCCTGCCCCCTTCTGTCTGTTGGATTCTCTGCCTCTCAAATTAAAAACATATATAACTATATTATCCTACAGTATTACTAAAAAGTATACACCTATAAAAAATGAATTCTAAAAATGTGTTATTTTCAGGGAGAAAAAAAGGCCTTTCAATTTGGATTGCCTAATAATTCATAAACAGGAATTATAGGCATGTTCAGGATAAAAATTTGATAGACTTGAGTCGTTAAAACATTAGCACATTTTAAATTCGTGAATTTTAAAAGCTTAATGTTCCAAACAAAATAATCAAGTATATTAAAGCTTCCAATGATTTACTAGAGAAATAAATACAGGCTTATTAAAACTAAACATAATCCTTTCTGCCTATGTTTTATAAGAATTTCAGTGACTAGAGGCCTACTGTAGTAGTACAAACAGGACAATAATTTTTTTGTGCCCAATGCATTTAGCTGATCTGTAAGTATTTATAAAGGCTGCTAAGAAAAATCAAACATCCAAAACACCTATGGCTCACAAGAATCACAAATTCCAGTAAAACGTTAACTTTCGAAGTAACACAGAATTACCTACCAACTACAATAATATCAAAGAAACTCCTATTTTCCTAGCCCAGCCTACAAGGAACATCTAATTTGACATGTTTTTCTTTTGCAGGCAATTACCTTGGCAAATTTAAAACCATTCAAATGAAAAAGCTATGAAAGCTCACAGGTTTCAAAAATGTGTTTAACACAAACAGGTCAGCAGTATCAACTCCTCCTAAGAAATGAAACTGAGTATTATTTCAGGAAAACAAGCTTACCTATCACTTGGTGGACTACTTTCCTCTTCCAAGTATTGTTGGGCATTTCGCCTTCGTACCTTTGGAACAACGTGCTTTCTTGCAAAATGCCTGTCTTTTGGCTTTGAATCCTCCTGTGACACAATGTCTTCTATGTCATCCAGCAGAGCATCACAGGATGCAGATGGCATCTTTATCACAGAGAAAAGTTATGAATACACAAGCGTATGGAAATCTGCTTAACTTACCATCACCTATGAAACATTCTTGCCAAACCTGAACCTAATTAAGCCTTTAAATCTAACTTGAAGTTTAGAGAAAATGCAGGAGACAAAGAAATACAAGGAAACAATCACACAAACCCTGCTGAAGTGAGACATTCCAAGATTCTACTGGAACTGTTCCTTCTACAGATCAGTGTCATTGGGGCAAAAAGCAGGAGAGGAATCATTCATGATTAAAGGAAACTTAAAAGCCTAACACATCTCCAAGCTGGGAAGGACTTTGGTGGTAAGGGCAGCAGCTTTCATGCCTTCCAGTGCTTTGATGAAACCTCAGATGTGGGGCCTCTTGGCCAGGGTCTGCAATTTCATATTGTCAGAGCACTCACTTGCTCCCTGGAGACTACAGCCCTAAGTCTGCTGATCCAAGAAAGGAGTCATACACATATTTCTACAGAAATTAGGATCCACGAAAGATTTTGAGGAGATGGCATCTCTCAGGGTTCGAAGTGACACTGGAATATAAAGGTTTCTGTGGACTGCAATCCTCAGAAGTTTGTCACAAACCTGAGTTCCTGAACTATGCAACATGAATATGTAGAGTAAGGAATACTTTCTCCTGACAAATACACAATTAACAAAAATAAAGCCTAACAATTAATGTTCTTTTTGGATCTTATTTGTCCAGCCAACTATAAGACACTTTGTAAACAATTAGGAAAATCAGACTATGAACTGGCTATTAGATAATATGACGATTTTATATAAATTACTAAATACAAAATATTTCCCTATGTTTGCAAATTTTATATTTAAAAATTCACTTGTTTATTTGAAAGGCAGAGTCACAGAGAGAGAGGGAAGGAGACAGAGAGAGAAAGAGATCTTTAATCCACTGGCCACTCCCCAAATGGCTGCAATGACCAGGGTTGTGGCAGGTTGAAGTCAGGAACCTAGAACTCCATCTGGGTCTCCCATTAGGGTGGCCGAGGCCCAAGCACTTGAGCCATCTTCTGCTGCTTTTCTATGTGCAGAGATCTGAACAGAAGTGCAGCAGCTGGGACTTGAACAGGCACTCGTATGGGATGCCAGCATTATGGGCAGCAGCTTAATACACTATGCCATGACATTGGCCCTGAAAATTTTACTTTTATTTTTAAAGATACATGTTGAATATTTACAGATGAAAAGTGATTATGTCTATAACATACATTAAAACACTTCAGAAAAATGTATTAACACATATGGGAAAACATTTACAACTCAAACATAGAAAATACATACATTGGTAATCATTATCCTATTCAACTCTCCTGAACGTTCAAAATTATTTAAAAAAATTTAATTCAAACACAGCTTCCAGGGAAGTAGACACACTCTTCTATATCCCTCCTGTAAAGCTCAACTAAAACTTGAGGCATTATACATAAAACAAACACAAGACCACCTTGAAAACTCGAGAGAAGACGGCAGACTGGCTAGGATCCTTGGGACTTACATCCCAAACTCGTAGCTGAAGAAGCCAGCAATCCAGAAATGCCAACAGATACAGACAAGAAAAGCTTCCAGCAAGTTTGCTTTCTCATCAAAAATTAGGAGAAAAAAAAAAAAAAAGAGGCTGCCTAGCAAGACAGAAAACTTATAGAGAGTAACTGTTCTATTCCAGCCACACAAAAACAGACCCAAAACTGCAGTGTCACCCCAAGCAACCCACAAAAGCCAAGTAGGGACCCTTGGCCCCTCCTCCATAATAAGGTGCCCCAACACAGCCAAGGCAAGAAGGGACCCTAAACATTCAAACCAACTCACTAACCAACTTGTCTTGCTGTGTTCAGTGGAGACCAATCCTATACACAAGTCTAAAACAATTCTCATTAAAATCCTAGTGAGATTTCTTTTTATAGATATAAACAAGACTGTTCTAAAATGTACATGGAAAGGTAAAAGAGAATGGATCCTCTATTCATTCGTTCACTCCCCAAATGGCCACAACAGCTGGGGCTAAGCCAGGCTGAAGCCAGGAGCCAGAAACTATCCAGATCTCCCAAGTGGGTGGCAGGGGCCCGGGTACTTAGGCTATGCTCTGCTATTTTCTCAGGAGCATTAGCAGGGAGCTGAATAGGAAGTAAAACAGCTGAGACTTGAGCAGGTGCTCATATGGGATACCCACATTGCAGGTAGCAGCTTAACCCACTACACAACACCACCCCTGGTCTGCCTGATTTTAAGATTTATTAGACAACTATAATAATCCAGACTGTGGTAATGTCGGGAAATGGAAACACAGATCACAGAATCCAGAAACAGACCCACACAACGGGCCCAACTCATTTTCGTAAAAGGACAAAATAAGAAATATTAGTGAAACACCAAACGCTGGCAAAGAGGCAAAGAAACTGAATCATTCCTGCAGTCCAGGTAGGAAAATAAAATGGTACAGGCACCTGGGAAGAGAACTTGGAATTTCCTTTAAAAAGCTACTTATGGGCCAGCACCGCGGCTCACTAGGCTAATCCTCTGCCTTGCAGCACCGGCACACCGGGTTCTAGTCCCGGTCGGGGCGCCGGATTCTGTCCCGGTTGCCCCTCTTCCAGGCCAGCTCTCTGCTGTGGCCAGGGAGTGCAGTGGAGGATGGCCCAAGTGCTTGGGCCCTGCACCCCATGGGAGACCAGGAGAAGCACCTGACTCCTGCCATCGGATTAGCGCGGTGCGCCGGCCACAGCACGCCAGCCGCGGTGGCCATTGGAGGGTGAACCAACAGCAAAAGGAAGACCTTTCTCTCTGTCTCTCTCTCTCTCACTGTCACTGTCAAAAAATAAAAAAATTAAAAAAAAAAAAAAAAAAGCTACTTATGGAATCCAGCAAGTATACTCCTGAGTGTCATTCAAGAGAAATAAAGGCTTATATTCACATGAAAACCTGTACAAAAACATGTTTATAGCAGCTTTCTTTGTAGCCAAAATCTGTAAACAACCCAGATGGCCTTAAAAGGGTAAAAGGTTAAACACAACATGGTACAGTCATACCCTACAATATTGCTCGGCCATAAAAATGAATGCCATAACCCGGAACAATCTCCAGAGAATGATGCTGGGTGAATAAACTCAACCCCAAGAGGTCACATACAATGTGGTCCCATTTATACAATATACCTGAGATAACAAAGTTAAGGAAAGGAAGAACGGGAGAGTGGTTGGCAGGGATTGAGGATGAAGTGGAAGGAGAGTGGGTGTGACTGTAAAAGGACAACATCTAGGATCTTTTGAAATCTTCAGTATCATAGCTACATCAATGTCAACATCCTGCCTGTGATTCTCTGATGTACAGTTCTGCAAGATGCTACCACGAGGAAACCTAGGTAAAGTGTACAACTTAATAATTTTCAGGGAGGCAAGTGAGTCTATAATCAGGTTAAAACAAAATATTACAGAAAACACTACCTGGAAAAGGAAAATGAATCCCATACACTTGGAGATGTACTACTACTAACAGAATCTCCAGAAATGAAGCCTGCCCTCTCCAGGGTCATCTCATCAACCACTCACAACAATGGTATGATGTAGACGGTATTATCATCCTCTCTGTAAAGATGAGCTAACAGAAACACAGAGAAGGGAATTTGCCCAAAAAGGAAAACAAGGATGCAATGCTGATGAGTCCCAGCACACACCCTGTGCCATACTCTACTGCCTTCTTCATGACCACTCTTTCTCATCTGAATCACCTGAACCACAATATTAAGACCTTGTTTTCTTTCAGGCAACCACAAACTTTTCTGATGAATTTTCCTCCTCTTCATTTGCTGAATCTTTCCATTTACATCATTCAATTAACACCGTGACTTCCAACCAGGCTTATTTTTATCATGTAGTATATTCTTTACAACTATGACAAACCACACACTGTGAATCAGACAAATCTGTATTCATATCTCAGCTAGATTTATATTGTGCTAATAAAAGATTAGAAATACCCTGCTAATGTGCCTGAGAAAGCAGAAGAGGATGGTCCAGGTGCTTAGACCCTTGTACCTATGTGGGAGACCAGAAAGAAGTTCCTGGCTCCTGGCTTCAGCCTGGCCCAGCCCCAGCCATTGCTGCCATTTGGGGATTGAAACAGAGGATGGAAGCTCTCTCTCCCTGCTTCTTCCTCTCTATATATAACTTTGCCTTTCAAATAAATAAAAATAAATCTCTCCCAAAAAATTAGAAATAATCCAAATGTCAATCAATAAATGCCCAAATTGTCAATAATATGTATACCAGGTAATCATGTTGGGTTTGTTCATCTCAGGCCTCCCCTTTGCTAGTCACAGCAATGGGACACAGATGGGCCAATGCTGTGGTGTAGCAGGTAAAGCTGCCGCCTGTGGCACCAGTTTGAGTTCTGGCTGCTCTACTTCCGATCCAGCTCCCTGCTAATGCACCTGGGAATGCAGCAGAGGATGGTCCAAGTGCTTGAGCCCCTGCATCCATATGGGAAACCTGGAAGAAGCTCCTGGCTTCAGCCTGCCCCAGCCTGGGCCATCGCCATTTGGAGAGTAAACCAGCAGATAAAAGGTATCTATCTGTCTGTCCCTCTCTTTCCCCATCCCCCCGCTCTCTCTCTCTCTCTCCATCTCTGCCTTTCAAATAAATAAATAAAGCTTTTTTAAGAGGGGAAAAAAAAAAGGAATGAGACAGAGAACCCAAGTCTGACACAATAACCCATGCTCCTGGCCACAGGTACATGCAGGGTCAGTTGTGACAAGCCCGCCCATCAGAATCACTGAGAGGACTTCTATGCCAGAGCTAATGGAAGAGATGGCTTCTCTTTTCACTGAAGTGGCTAAGTTAAATGACTGCCAAGTTGGGGACACGAGCAACCACCTTGCCTGCCACAGGGAGTAAGCCTACTTAAGGAATGAAGCCTAGTAAGAGCTGGAAAGATAAAGCACCAGACTGACATTTTTTGAGCATCTGGGTCCAACC